GGTTGAAGAAACTCCGGGTGTCCATAGAATGCATCCACCAAAAAGGATGTTGTAGAAAAAGATCTGTGGATGCAGAAAAGAGTTAAAGTATACAGTAAGTCCTTACTATGTCATCAATAGGTTCTTGGAAACTGCAGCTTTAAGCAAAACAGAACTTAACTCTTGTTTATATCAATTAGCCTAAAATTGGTTTCATTATATATTAATAGTATGTCATTTCACTTAAAGTCGCAGGTTCCAAAAACCTGTTGATAAGGTTAAGTGAGGACTTATTGTATTGTTTACTCATTTTATCATTATAGGCATAGAATGCATGCTCAAATTCAAGCAACAAAGTAAAAAGTGAAAGTCCTCTACATCTCACAATTTCTCATCCAAATTTCATGCTATAGGAAATGAAAAAGGCAAATGAGGAAATAATATGCCTAGTACCAACTCACTTTTAAAAATTAAAATATATCCATATATACTCATATAGAAAAGCCTGAGGATTTACATTAAAATGTTAAAGATGTTGGGTAGGGGAGAGTAGAGATTGCTAGCATTTTTCAGTCTTTTCTGGCTTTCCTGTGGCTTCATTGTCTACGATGGCTGACTGTGTGTTATTTTGTGCAATTTGAGAAAGCCCATGTAACAATTAACTCAGTGCCCCCCGATTCCCCAGCCAACTGCCACCATTTGGCTACCTGGTTCCCAGGGGCTCTTGGGAAGACCCAGGTGTCCTCTGCTGTCTTAGGGAGCATCGTCAAGGCTAGGGGGTAGTGCCAGGGACCCCAGGGCGAGCCCTGTTTCTCAGTAAGCATTTGAGGGTTGAAGAGATGGATGCCTTATAGTCCTGGGGTTTTGCGGGATCCTGAGGCATCCTGGATAGCCACAAAAAATGCACTGAGCTAGGCACAAGTTTGGAAGTCAGGGTACCATGGACATCAGTAAAGACAAACATTTAAAACCAAAACCCAACAACAACTCACACTGGCTTAAGAAATAAAGGGAGTTTATCAGTACATGTAACTGAAAAGCCTAGGGCTCCCAAGCTTCAGGCATGGCTGGATCTGGGTGCTCAAATGATGCCTTCCAGAATCTCTTTGTCTCTTCAAGGCTCCATTTTCCTCTGTGCTGGCTTCTCTCTTGAGGCAGGCTCTCCCCGTGTTGTGGCAAGATGACCCATCAAACAGCTATCGCAGCAGCTCGGCTATCCCAGCAGACCCAGGGTTTCTCCCTCCCAGGCACTCCAGAAAAAGTCACAGGGAGGCTCTGATTGGCCAGACTTGGGTTTCCTACCCCGCCCCGAACCATGCACTGGGGCGCTGATTGGCTGGTCCTGGGCCACAAGCCCACCCTGTGACCAAGGGGGCGGAGCCAGCTCTGCCACAATCCTTGGACTGGTGGGAGGGAGGGGTTGTCCTCACAGGACTATGGGGGGGGGGATACTGGCACAGGGAAGGGGCGGCCAGCAGAGCTCCTCCTCACTAGCTGGCTTGAAAACTGTGCTCCATGAAGCACAGAACTGTCCTTTATCAGGAAAGCTGGATTAATCTTGTGATAGGGAGGGCGGGAGGTGGAGGGTGGAGGAGAGGTTTGCCTGGGGGTGAGAAGGTGCAGTGAGTGGCCATGGCCAAATCACCCTCATCTCCAGGCCTCAGTATCCCCATCTGTAAAGGGAGGGTGATCTGCAGGAGCCTACGGGTTTTAGGATTGTGCCGCGTATTCATGTGATGAAATTACTGGGGTGCAGTTGCCCATCCCTTTCCACTGACTCAGAACAGTTTCTTAGCGAAATCCGGTGTATTCCATTAGGAAATCGTGCTGTGATCTGTGTGGGGAGGAGCCTGTTAGGGAAGGGGGTTTGGAGCTATTTCTGGCGAAGACCGAGGTGGGTGAAACATGTCGGGGTTGAAACATGTCGGGGTGGGAGGTGTCCGACACTTGGAGAGGAAAGCTGAGCCTGGGGCCTGGCGCCCGGGGTCTGGGTAGAGGGGCAGGTGCTGCGAGTGTGGGAGGGACTGGGGGCAGGGCAGGCCTCAGCAGCTGGCAGGGAGCGGGTGGGACAGGAATGTCCCTCCTCCCAGGCACCTGTCCTCAGGCCACCTGGCCCTATCCTACAAAGAGCAAACTGGACACTGCCCTGGTGCCCACCAGGTACCTGCACTTAAAATAGGGATATTTGCAACTAACTCTCGAGAGTCTCCCGTAAGCCGGGAGTGTTTCTAAGCATCAGTTCGATGAGGCCTCAGGACTGCAAGGAATAGCTTGGCTACGGGCTGCTCCGCAGATGGGTGGCTGGGCTCACAGAGGTGGAGTCACATGCCCAAGGACGCACCCACAGCCCATGGTGACGGAGCTGTGGTCAGTGTCTGTGTGCCTGTAATGACGGGCAGGTGGGGCTCAGAGCTGAGTGACCAAGTCACAGAGCTGGGGCAGCCAGGGGGGGCATGAAACCACCCTGAGGAGGGAGGGCAGGAATCTGGGAGCGGCCAGGGCTGTTTGCACAGCATGGTGTGCAGGGAAACGTTTTCCAAGAGGAGGGAACAGCATAAGCAAAGGCACAGAGGCGAGCAAGTGCAGGGGACATTTGAGACAAGGCACGCTGCTTGGCAGGGGCCTCCGCCCATGCTTTGTGGATCGAGAGGCCACATGAGCAGTGGGCTGAGGGTGGAACCGCTGTGCCCTGAAAGTGCCTGGAGGCCCAGAACCCCCAGCATTTGCTGCGATAGTTGAAGGGTGTCTGTCTGTCCCGTACCCCGTGTGGTTTACAGAATTGCTGGGGGGGAGGGGCAACGCCTGGCAGCCTAAGCCCCCCAGGCAGGCCTGGAGGACATGGAGGGGTCTTCTTCTGGGACCTCCACGGAGGATCCCCCTGTGCCTGGGCGGCCCCGGATGAACAGGAAGCCGCCATTCCTTCCCATGGGCTGGAGGAGAATGGCCTCTGTGTGAGCCACAACAAAAAGGCTTTTCTGCCAAGTCGCAGGGGGAGGAAGCAGCACGCCTGGCCCCCCGCCCTGGCCTGAAAGAAGGCTCTGTTGGTGGCCCTGGGGTCTTCAATGTGGGGGGAGGGGAGGGGAGGGGAGACTGGTGGGCAGGGGCTCCCTTGTCCCTGTCCTGACGCTCTAGCGGCACCAGGCTGGGTGGGGCTGTGCTGCTGCACAAGTCGGTCCACCTGGGGCCTAATCCTGGCATGGCCATTTCCTAGCTGTGTGACCTTGGCCAAGTCACTGCACCTCTCTGAGCCTTTCCTCCGGAGTAACACATAAGTGGGGAACATGCTAGTCAACTGGGGTCACACTCACACATCTAGCAGGTGCCCTGTTGCCAGCACCTGGCAGCTACCTCTCCTCCTGTACTGAGGTGGAAGTGCCACAGCGGCAGGGCTCGGGCCCCGACTGTTTTAGCCTCCAAAACGCCAAGCTGTAAATGTGTCAGTGCAGAGCAAAAAGGCGGCTGGGAGGAAACACGCTGACCCCTCAACACTGGCTGGGGGCGATTGTGGTGACTGTATTTTTCTCCTTTTTATCTTTAATGTCTTAATGTTCTTACTTGTGAATTAGGAAAACATAAAGAAAAAAAAGAAAAGATGCTGAGAGAATGGGGGCCACAAGTTTAGGTTACAGCCATATTAAAAAAATCCCACAAAACCCTATTTAAAGACGCAGCTCCTGTTTACTCCTGGGGAGGAGGGGTGAGGCCAGGCAGGCCGGGGCTCTGGATGAGGAGTCAGGCCTTGCTGCACCCCCTATCTCTACACAGCCCCCAGCCCCCAGCCCCCAGTGAGGATGCACAGGGCTCCAGCGACAGGTTGTGCCCTCAGCCGCTGGGCTTCCCTGGGACGTCAGCAGAGACCTGGCGGCGGACGGTTCTTCAGGCAGTTTCCTGAGGAGCTGAGGCCTCTGCCAAGTCTCTCCTCCGGCCTTGGCTCTGAGGAAGGGCTTGATGAGAGGCCTTTCATCCTCCCCGCTCTTGTCCCTGGGCCCCGCACTGTCCTCCACCTGCCCGGTGACCCTAGAGCCCAGGCGGGGGCAGAGCTGGGCGGGCCTGCGGCTCCTGCAACAGGAAAGGCGGCAAGATGGCGCCCGCCCCAGACCCTCAATCTGCGGTGGGGGCGGCTCACGGGCCGTTTCCTAGATGAGCCCGAGAGGCCTTCGGGGCTTCCGAGGGTCAGTACTCCCTACTCTCCTCGGCCAGCTTCAACACAAAGAGAGGAAGGGGTGGGATCGAGCCGGCAGGGACCCTGCCCGCCCACTTGCGGGGACCTGGCCTGCTCCGTGTGGGGTTGGGACCCGAGCCTCCGCTGGTCACTGAATTCCTGGGGGCCCAGGGTGGTTCTGTAGGCGTGGCTGAGAGCAGGGACGTGGGGGCTATGGCAGATCTCCCAGCTCACCTACCACACCCAGGCCCAAGGGACAGTGACGCCTCAGTCCCTGCTCTCCTGGGGTCTCATCTGCACACGCGCGGGCCTGGGTTGGGCTTCTGGAAGAGGACGGGCAGGTCCTGGGTCCCCCCACCCTCTGAGTGGTGTGTGGCGAGAGGAACTTTGGGAACCAAAGTGGCACCATTTTCCATCTTTTTGTGCCCAGCTCTGGGCTCTGGTCTCTGTGTGTGGGGGGGTCTTCAGGCTACCCAGGACCCAGTCTGAGTTGCTGGGCGGCCTGGCCTGGTTCTTCCTGCCCTCCTAGACGGGGAGGGCTTGTGGGAAGCTGGGCTGTCTCTTCTCAGCACGAATGAATGAATGGCAAACATATTCCACACTCCTTTCCAGGCCCACCCTCCCCAGGGTCCCCTGCCTCCCCAGCTCCCGGCCTACCGAGGGCTGCCCTAAGCTTGGCCCTCCCAAGGCCTCGTTCCCAAAGGCCACTAGGAAGGAGCCCCAACAGTTCTAGGGACCGCTGGTCTCCTCGGCACCCAGGGCAAGTTCCCCCATCCTAGTGTGGACTGGACCCCCTGCCACCTGCAGGCCCGTCCAACTGTGAGCGCCTGCCCAAGGCCTCTTACAGACGAGGCCACACTGGCCGGCTGTACACTTTAATCAGTGCAGGTTATTTACAGACATACGTGTACGTGGGTGGACTGGGCCCCTCCCCCTCCCCTCGGCTGGCTTTCCGGCTCTGCAGAGGTGGGGGAGCTGCTGGACCCACGTGCACCAGAAGCCGGCAGAACCCCCGCCTCCTGCACCTCAGGGATGCTGGGTAGTCCTCACCTGCCCAGGCTTTTGGGGCAGGAGACAGAGCAGCCGTACAGTACCATTTCCCACTGGCCGCCGCCTGCTTGCTCTGGGCGGGAAGGAGGAAGGAAGCATCCCCACCCTCAGGGCTGAGCCCAGGAGGGGAGCCTCTTCGCCACGATGGGCTCCTTTCGGGGTTCCACAGTCTGCATGAGGGGTTGGGGGGAGCTGCTGGCCTGTCCCCATCAGTGTCTGTCCTCCCAGTCCCCTGGGGCACAGGGAGCTGGAGGGAAGACCCCATGCCTGGTCTCTGCTGGGGTGAGGCCAGGACTGGCTTGGGGGAGGGCCTTAGCAGTCTCCCTTTGGTCCGTGGTAAGGCAGGCCCTGGGCCCCTGCTCCGGAGAGGGAAGGAGACGTGGGCCCAAGGGGCACATGGGAGCTGCGGGCTGCCCAGGGCCCGGGTGGGGTGTGGCTGGGTTCTCAGGGTTGCTGGGGCCATCAGAGTGGGCCGGGAAGGAACCAAGCCTCAACTCAACTCAGGGGCTAGTGGCCCACCTCCTGGCCCCTTCCCTGTCACCCTGGGGCTTCCCCTGGGTGAAAAGCTCTTCTAAGGCCAGACTCAGGAAGGAGGGGACCCAGCTGGGCTGGCCAGTCTCCAACTGGGCACTGGGCAAACAGAGTCCTCGTGTTGGCCCCGGGGCTCAGGCCGTACTGGCCATGCTCCAGCGTAGGCCTGTGCCCCTGCGCTCCTCTGGCTGTGGCCGAGCCAGGGGTGGACGAGGGCTTGATTCCCTGTCTGGAACAGAACTACGTTTAGAAAACTCTAAACACTCTGCCCTGGTCAGGAAAGCAGAAACAAATGCTCACTTAAGGTGCCAAAATAAAACCCCCCCAAAACCTGGGCATAAATAAGGAGGGCAGGACCACCGATGTTTGAGGGCCGGGAGGGGCCCCCACCCAGGGGCGGAGGGAGCCCCGAGCACCGTGAGGCCGGAGGCGGCGGCGTCAGACCCACTCCTGCAGCGAGCGCTTGCAGTAGAGCAGCACGCGCGGCGCGCCCTTGCGCTGCATGTGCACGAGCGCGTAGGCCAGGCCCAGCACGCACAACAGCAGCAGCAGCGGCACCAGCACCACGACCACGTTCACCGCCCGCACCACCTCCTCCAGCTGCACCACCACACGGCTGCCCCCGTCCTTGTCCCCGTCCGCCCCTGCCCCGAAGTCCCCCTCGCCGCCGCCGCCGCCTGCATCGCCCTCCGCGCTGTCCCCGTCGTCCGCCCCCGGCTCTGCACCCCTGTCGGGGTTGAAGGGCGGGCGGGCCACGTCGGGCCATCGCGAGCCTGGCTCCACGTGCTCCTGGCAGCCCATGAAGTCCCGCAGGATGGACTTGGGGTAGCCGGGCTCCATCCGCAGGCGCTCGTTGTCGAATTTCCAGTATTTGGTGCCCTTGTAGAAGTAGGTGTAGGCTGCGGGGGCAAGCGGGCCAGAGCGGCTTCAGGTGGGGCCCCGGCACCAGCAGAGCCCCCCAAAGAAGACCAGGACATGCTGAAAGGGCCCTGGCTTTAAAGTGTCCCCTTCTTACTTGCCTCCCTGAGCATTTTCAGAGCTGCCCCTGCCCAATTTACAGCAGCCAGGCGGAAGCTCAGAGGGGTTTGGGGGGTCAAGGGCCCGACTAGAATCCTGGGCTTCCCGACCAGGCTGACACTGCCCGGGGCTGGGCACGTTAGGGTCCTGCAGCCTGCTGGGTCGGGGAACCCTGCTGCCCCATCCTGGGACTAGCTGCACCCCACACCAGGGGCCAGGGTCTTGCTCAAAGCCATGAAGCCACCCTGTGGTGGCCCTGGAGCAGAGCCTGATGCTGCCCTGGACTGGCTCTCTGGCCTTGGGCACCTTGCCCGTGTCCCATCAACACTGGAAGGGCCAGGCTGGAACCCGGTGTTGAGTCTGTGCTCTGCTGGACACACTAAGATCAGAGCGGAGTGACAAGCTCACGCGCAGAAGCTGTGTGACCAGACCGAGCACTGGCAGAGCAAGCAAGGTCTCCCGAGTCTCAGAACCATGAACCTCAGAGCCAGGGCTGATGGTGTTTCTTAAATGCACTGGAGAAATAAAGGCCACAGGTCCCTGTTGCTTGTAAGGGCAGGTAGACCAGGTTCCCTTCTAGGCGGGTAAGTGACATTCTGGGAGGATGCTAGCCCCCCAGCACTCCGTGTGAGCCAAGCCCACCCACTCCGACTCGAGGCCCCGAGGGCTGTCTGGGGGCAGCTCTAGGCTCCAGCTCTGTGTACAAGCAGGCTGGGCAGGCAGCGCGAGCCCATGGCTTCCTAGCCGTGGGATCTTGTTCACCCATCCTTAAAGGGGATGGTGACCACTCAGGGGGACGTGCTTGGGAGGCTCCCAGCCCTGGGCACAATGTTGCGGTGTCCCCCATGTGCCATAGCCCCAGGTGACCTCAGGCAAGCCCTGTCTCCCCGAGTGTGTGGCAGGGGGTACGGTAAGTGCTGGGCAAACAGGGAGGGGTGGCCTGGTACCTGCATCGTTGCTCAGGAAGGCCCCTCTGGGGGAGGTGGGGACCCCCTGCCAGACACTGATGGGCTTGGGATAGCCAGGGTCTCCACGCTGCGTCTCCTCGTTGTAGCGCCAGTACCTGTGACCAAAAGCACCAGGCTGTGGACCTGGAGCCCCTGCCGGGGTCCCCTTCCAGGTAGGCCCGAGGGCGAGGGGGCCTGGGTGGGCCTTCTCCCTGCAGGGGAGGGGGCATGCTGCTCACCTGTCCTCTTGGAAGAAGAAGGTGTGACCCGTGGGCTCCCACCAGATGGCCGTGTCGATGTGGTCATAGGGGATGTCTAGGCCGTAGCTGGTCAGCGGCTGGGGGTAGCCGGGCTCCAGGTTCGCTTCCCGGAAGAGCCAGTAGCGGTTACCTGCAGGAGGGGCAAGGCCGTGTAAGGATGGGCCTGGGGCCGAGGGCTGCGTGCGGGACGGGGACAGGGCACGCTCTGCCGGGCCCATGAATCTCTTTGGGTCCACTGCCCTCCCCCCAACACACACACGCACAAAATCACACAGCCCTGTACCCGGGGCAGGTGTGGACACCCACATGCTCACAACACACAGCGCAACTCACCTGCACGTCACACACTCAGCTCCCGGGACACACATGTTCCCATGAGCACAAGCCACCTGCTCACACCTGTACACACCCCACACACCGTGCATGGGCCTTCATTCCCCTGTGAACACCCCCTCCCCCAGTTCTAGTACACAGGGGGCCTGCCTGGCCTCTGGGTCTAGGGGCTGCAAACCTGGAGCCCCCACAGCCCTCCCAGCACGTGGCCCAGGGCTCCCTGCTCTCAGAGTGGGCCCAGCCCTGTCCTCAGGCAGCTCCTGCCTCGCCGAGGCTCAGGCCACCGTAGGGGACACAGCCAACCCATGGGGGTGGGGAGGTGGGGAGCGTGTCTGCCCTCGAGGCCTTTGCCTTTGCAGACAGACCAGAGATCCTGTCCCAGAGTGGGCTGGGGGACCCACTCTTAAGACACCAGGACAGAGGGAAACAGAGCCGAGCCCCTATGCCGTGGAGGGTGGACGGGCACTCGTCCCCAACTTAGGACAGCTTCTGGTCTCCGGGGTCCCAGGACTGCCCCGCCGCCGCCTCTGCCTTCCTCCCTGCCCCCATCCCCACCCCAGCTCACCTTTGAAAAAGACAAAGCGACCATCCTGGCGCTCATAGGCAGCACTGATGTCCCCGGGCAGCCCACGCCAGAAGTGCCCGATGGGCATGGGATAGTTGTCCAGGACGCGGTTGTGCCGAACTCGCCAGAACCAGCGGCCCTGGGGAGGGTTGGGCGTAAGTGGCCGTGCACGCTCGCTGTGGGTCGGGAGAGGCCCTGTCCTCAGTCCACCCTCCCAGGGCCGGGAGTGTGGGTGGGGGAGGCCACTGAGGCTCTGGGTGGGGGAGCGGCTTGGGAAGCCAGGGCCACACTGGGAGAGAGCCCTGGGCTGGGGACCCGCACTGGAGTTTGCTGGGCCTGGTTCCTTCCTGGTCTAGGGTCCAATGGCTCCCCAGGGCCTGCTGGGGGGGAGGGGAGGGGCAGGGCAAGGCTCTGGGGGAGGCCGACCCGTGCCAGACCTTGAACACGAACATCTCCCCGCGAAGCATGGCCACTGTGTCAAAGTTCCCATCACAGATGTTGGGGCCATACTGGTCGGGCCGCTCTGTGGCTCGGGGCTGGGCTGGGGGGCCTGGCTTTGGGGGTCGCTCTGGCTTCCCGCCTGGGGGTGGTGGCTGGGGCGGCCGGGGGGGCCGGTGGTCTGGCCGGCCTGGCCGCCGGGGTGTCACGGTGGGGAGAGGCCGGGTGGGCTGTGGCTGACCGTCCGGGGTGCCTGCAGAGAGAGGTGGGGAGTGAGAAGTGAGAGGGCACCCTCAGACGACAGCCAGGATGGCGGGTTCTTCCACCCAGAACCTTGGACCCCCCAGCCCCCAGCCTGGAGAGGTCTGGCCCAGTGCAGGCCCACCCCTGTGAAAGGTCCCATCTGTCTATGGCAGACCCCTCCCCCACACCGGGCCTGGGTCACTTGAGGCTGCCAGCCCTGGAAGCAGCGGACGCCGCAGAGGCAAGAACACAGCTCTGGCTCTGGCCTCGGACATCTTGACTCCTCTGCGGCCCGCCCGTCTCACTTCCGAGTCGCTGGGGAAGCAGTGAGGGGCGTCCGGCAGGCGCCCAGCAAGGCAGGTGCTGCCAGCCCCTGGAAGGGCTCGGTGTGGGCACAGGGCGCAGGCCCGACCCACTGAACGGGCCCCAGGAGACTCACCGCCGGAGGCTTTCTCGGAAGGGGCCTGGGTGGGGCGGCACCTGCTCAAAGCCACTGGGAAGTGACACGCCAGCAATGCTCGGGGGAGAGCAAGACAGGCTCAGGCTGGGAGTGACAGTGAGAGGATGGGTCCCGGGGTCCCCAGGCACTCATGGTCTGGGGAGAACACTGAGGCCGAGGAGGAACGGAGTCACGATGGGCCACGGAGCCACATGTGTCCCCTCAAAGGCCCCAGCCTGGAGCTCGGGTTAGGGCTGCGCCCTGGAACCCGCCAGCCCCGGGTTTGATTTCCAGCTCCACTGTTTACTCCCTAAGTGATGTGAGCAAGTCACTAATCCTCACTGGGCCTCAGTCTCCTCATCCACAAAAGAGGGGTAGCAGTGAGCCCTGTGCCCGCCGGGCCGGGACTGGGGAGCAGGTCCACAGGCCCCTGGCCGCAGCCCACGCACCGTAGAGCTGCTGGATGCCCCGCAGGTCGTCCTCGGGCAGCTGGAAGTTGTCGGTGTCCATCCACTGGTAGAACGGCGCCATGATGGCACTGGGGTTGTTGGAGTGCTCCAGCCCCAGTGCGTGGCCCAGCTCGTGCACCGCCACCAGGAAGAGGCTGTTCCCTTGAGGGGTGGGCGGCACGGTCAGCTCGGGCCTGTCCCAGCTCCCCGCCGCCCTGCACCCTCCAGACAGCCTGCCCTCGCTTCACTCCTGGAAGAGGCTGAGCTGCACGGACTTCTGGCCTCCAAGTTCCCCATCTGAGAAATGGGTACAACGATCCCTTCCGACCTCCCCTTGGAGATGGTGGGACAACAGACCGAGAGCGAGTGTGGTGATCTGGAGACCTCCACAGGGGAACTCGCCCCTCCCAACCCCACGGCTGGCGGACCGTCTCAGGAGCTGTGCCCAGCTCTGCTCTGCCTGCCCTGCCCCCACCCTGGCCAGCCGTCCTCACCATGCAGGTCAGTGCTGGAGAAGGTCCAGGGCTCATCTGCGTCAAAATGGGTGTCCCCGCCCAAGCCGGGGCCAGGGAAATAGGCGTGAGCCAGAAAGCCACCCGTGCCGTCAAACGGCGAGCTGTCGCCGTGGAAGCCAGAGGCAAAGAGTACCATGATGTCGGCCTCCTTCTGCCGCCGCAGCCGGATGTCCTCGTAGGGCACCTCCTGGAAGACCAGGGGTGTGGCCTGCTCCCACACGCGGAAGGCCCTGCGCACCGCCTCCATGGAGTGGTACCAGCCCAGCTTCTCTGTGTAGTTCTGGATGCTGCGGGCGGGCAGGAAGACGGGCGAGTGGGTGCAGGCACAGGTGGGTGCAGGCACAGGGGGCTGCTGTCCACGGCTAGCATGTTCCCAAGGAGCACGCGTGAGTTGGCATGCCCATCAATGTCAACCAGCCGTACTCTGAATTTGTCAAATCCAAGAGTTAAGATCACTGAATAAGGCTGCCGTGTGGCAAATAAACTGATTTTAAGTAAGAAAGACAGGCCGGGTGTAGTGGCTCACGCCTGTGATCCCAACACCTTGGGAGGCCAAGGTGGGAGGATCGCTTAACCCCAGGAATTGGAGGCTGCAGTGAGGTATGAACCTCACCACTGCAGTCCAGCCTGGGCAGCAGAGCAAGACCCTGCCTCTAAAAACAACAACAAAAAACCACCAAAGAAAGACGTTAAGTGAACAAAAGTACAGGAGCTACGTGGCTGGGGGAAGGACCAGGGAATGGGATGGAAACGTTAAGGTTTGGGAAACACAGGCCATGCAGTTCTGCATGTTGAGCTCCCAGGTGAGGCAGACCTGCGTTCCAGGCCTAGCTCTAGTGCCGTCTGTGTGATCTTGGGCAAGTGACTCTGTCTCTCTGATTTTCAGTTTCTTCATCTGTTCAATGGGAAGGGGCTGGGGGAGTAACCCTCATGGGTTCCGGTGGGATTAAATGACTCGGGAAGAGCACAACAGAGCCTGCCCATGACAGTGTGGTGTGAGGCCTATTATCCACGGAAGTCAGATGAAGCTTCTGTGTGCCGGACAGACTGCCATCGAATGTGGCTGGACCGTGAATTCACTCTGGGGGCCTGAGGTCTAAGTAACCCTCGGAGCTGCTCTTCCTTGGGAGATGGACCTCTGGGTGGGGCGGTGGCTGGACTGGAACAGGAAGGGGGGCCCTGGGGGGACCATGGCTCAAGGCACACTCGGCTCAGGGGGTTTTCTTGCTCAGTGACTCAGCAGAAAGGATGAGGGTCCCCGAACCAGGGTTTTTGCAGGCGACTTGCTGTTTGCTCACAGGATAGATTCCTGTACCCCGGCTGTCCCCGGCCCTGCCCTGCAGTTTGTTGTGTTGGTGCAGGAACTCTGCTGGCGGGTGGGAGGCAGGGAAGGACAGAGCAGAAGCGGAAGCAGCTGCGAGGGTCCCAACCTCCTCTGGAGGGAGCGTGTGGCTGGTCCCATCGGCCTGGGAGCGGGATGTCTAGGCCGGGCACCCTGGGGTGGGCTGCTGGGAAAGGAAGCCTGAGGCTCAGCCCACCAAGAGGGGCAGGAGCCTCCCTGGGCAGCTGGGCCCCTACCTGAAGGTCAGATGGTGGTTGCTCCACTTCCTCCCGGTGAGGGCGTAGCGCTTGCGCCGCCGCCGCAGATTGGCTTTCACGCGCACCCCGAACTGGTCTGGCACCCCACAGCGGGGCCGCTTCATCCACCTGGACCACGGGGCAGAGGGGTGAGCGTGGAGCCTCCCGCAACACGCCTGCCTGCTTTGGCTCTGCCTCCTCCAGGCAGTCCGCCTCCTACCGGCCCCTCCCGCCTCCAGCCTCCCAGCTGCCCCTTCCAGTAACACGGGCAAAATGACCCTAAACCGGAAGCCTGAGTGCCCATCGGTGGCTCAATAAGGTGAGCCTTTCTCACCAGTGCCACCCAGGACCAGGACTGTTGCTCCTGAGGCCTCCTGTCCTTGCTATGTCATGCTCTGTGCACTCTCCTCAAGGACATGGCTTTAGATTATGTCACCTCGATTAGAGTCAGAGCGAGGCCCAGCTTGGACGTCCCATCCAGGGACTCAGCACTGCGCCTCCCATTCCTATGCCAGTGGCAGACATCACTAATCAATCACTATGCTCCTCACTGCTGAGCCCAGATCCCACCTTAGGGGCTTTCTATACAAGGCTTCAGGCAGCCACTCCAATCGATCAGAGTAGGCACAACGACCAAACCGTTTGCCACCTCTTATCTGGGCCACTCTTGTCCGGCCTAGACATGCCAAGCCCTCCTGAGGCTAGGCCAGAAGGAGGGCAGGTGCCTGTGGGGTCTGGGAGGGGCTGGACGGGGACACTCACGCCTTGGTCTCTTCATCGAGCACGCCCGTGACCGGGATCCCGTAGAAGCGCTGCATCTCCGCGAGGGCCGAGGCCAAGATCTGGGCGGAGCGCATGGTGGACATGTGGCGGCTGGGCTGGGGCAGGTAGCCATAGAGCCGCAGCCAGTTCTGCAGAGAAGCCATGGCCCGTCAGCAGGTCTTAGCACCGCCACCTACACACAGGCACGGCCTGCACTGACCGCCTCTTGCCACCTCTGCCACCATCGCCCCACCTGAGCTGTCGTCGCCTCCTGCCGGGGCGACCTCGTGAGCCTCGGAACCGCCTCCCTTACTGCCCACTCTCACACGAGAGCCAGAACAAAAGGCCAAGCCACATCTGGTCGGTTCTCTGCTTAGAACCCTCCAAAGGCGTCCCATTGCCACGGGAAGTCATTTGTACAGGAGCGGCAAGGTCCTCACTACCTGACCCCACCTTAGCCCTCTGACCTCACTCCTGCCACCCACACCGGCCCCAGGGCCTTTGCACTGGCCGTTCCTGTTGCCTGGCCTGCTCCCTAGCTAGACGCTGGCATGGCTCGAAGCCTCGTTTTCCTCAGGTCTCTGCTTCAACCCCACCTTATTTGAGGTGTTCTCTGGCATTATGTAAAAAAGGCGCCACCAGCTACACCCTGCACCGCCTGCTGGCACTATCACCCGGTGACACGCTGTATACTTGGTGTTTACTGTTCGTCTTCTCCCAGTAGGATGGAAGCTGTGCCCACAGGACGGTCCACAGTGGCCGTCCTGATCACTGCACTGCCCCCCCAGGCTGGGCCCCTCCACTCCAGGTGGACCGCTGGGGACCCCAAAGGGTCCAGAGTCTCCCGGGGCTTCACCAAGTAGGAAAACCAGCCCCCTGGCACTGCTCCCCAAAGACCCTAAACCTCCTGGAAGGGGAGCACACAGATCCCGGCAGCCCATGTGGGCCCGAGAGGTGGGGGACAGAGGCCTGGAGCCCCGATGCTGCCCTGCTGCGAACTCTGTACTCTTGGGGGCCCCGTGTCCTCATCCACAGAGCGGGGAGCACCGAGGCTGCCGGGGTGAGGATGGGGGGAGAAGCGTGTGGTTCACAGTGGGCACGCCCGGCCTTTTGGAGGCTTGCTCTGCAAGTCTTGTCTTCCACCCATCCACCCATGCACCGGCCAAATGTCCCCGAGCACCCTCCCTGTGCCAGCGGGGGGATGGGGTCGCGGGTGGGGACAGGCAGCACACCCGCAAAGCAAGGAGCACACACCTCCAAGTTGACAGTGCAGGGAGGCTGGGTCATGGTAAGAAAGGGGGCTCCGCCATGCCCACCTCCTGCCCTCAGGGCCGGGACAGCACGTGGTCACCGTGGGAGGCGGTGAACGGCGGCCGGGCTGCTTGGACAGAGGCCACATGCGTCTTTGCTTACCCCAGGCGTCTGGGGGCCTCCAGGGCAGGAAGAGTGGAGGCCTGCCCTCTGAGCTGCCCTGCACGGTGAGCGCTGCACCAGGGACCCCTGAGGCCGGACAGTTGCTGAACCAGGCGGCTGCTGCAGCCACGCTGTCACCAGTGGGGGCCACGCCCACGAATCTGCCTGCCACCGTCACGTCCAACTCCTCAGGCACTTGCTCCCTCCGTGCCATGGCCAGGCCAGCCCTGGCACCTGGCCAGGCCCCCGGTGTGGCCGGGCTGCCGACAGAGCAGCTGCCGCGCCCAGGAGCTGCTGAGTCGCAGGCTGGAAGCACGGCCACAGCCTCGAGGCCTCTCAGGACCCTGGGAAACAGCCACGGAGCAATGAGGCGGAGACACGGAGCTGGGGCAGGTCCTGGCCTGGCCATTCCGAGGTGCAACCCCGGCCGTGTTGGCCTGGGTCAGCCATCAGTGAACAGGAGCTTGGATTAGGGCCCGCCCTGTCTCACGGGCTCTGGGAAGACTAAATGGGAAAGTGAATGCCGCCATGCTTGGTGCTGTGCTGGGCAGGGGAAGGTGCTCAGCAGATGTGACAGTGACAGAGACTGGGCAGCCCACGGGCCGGAGCACAGCGCTTCTGCCCGCCTCTCTGGCCCAGGGTTCCCTCCCGCAGCTCCATCAGACACGGGTGACGTCTCGGGCACCCTCCCTTCTCTTCCCCAGCGCGGGGAGCCTTTCCCAAGGCTCCTGTGGTGGGCAGGGCAGGTCCACCACCACCCCTACAGGACACGGTTTTCCTGAAGATGCTTGGAGAGCTCCAGACTGCGCGGCGTGAGCCCCAGCCAGCTCTAAAGCGCAAGGGACCGGCTGGGGGCAGGGAGTGGGGAGGGCTGGCTGCTGGCAGAGGAGGGCACCTCTACATCACCTATTTGCATACGGTAAAAATATCTCCCGGAGCGCAATCACGGGCCACCAAGGGGCTGATTAGGGGTATCTGCAGAGTGACAGGAGGGGAGGGCAGGGGAGGCTCAGGCTGGGGCCCTGGGGAGGAAGGGGAGGGAGGTGGCCTGTTTGCAGGGAAGAGCTCCAGGGGCAGCAGAGGCCACGGGGCAGAGGGACCCTTCCACTCCAGGGCCAGCTCAGGGGCTGCCGGGGCGGTCCCACAGGCCTACGGACCCCCTGCACGGATGAGCACCCTTTCAGTCCCAGGGAAGCCAAGAGCTTCCATCTCACCATCAGTCAAGCCTCAAAGCCTCAGCCCCCTGGTGACAAGTGCCCCACAGCCGCTGCTGGGGGAGACAGCCAGAGTGGCAGGACACACCACCCCTTCCGCAGCAGGTGGGGTCGAGTAAGCAGAAACATGGCCTTGGTGCAGACCAGCCGAGCCTCTAGATGACAAGGAGAAGTGACAGGGCCTGCCTGACTCAGGCAGACGCGTGCTCAGGATGGCTGAACGCCAAGCGCCGATAAATCAGCCCAGGCGGCAGCACCACCGCCGGTAGGGCTGTGGGCTTTCTTCCTTCCCCAGTGTCCAGGAGGGAGTTTCCTGCTACCCGACTGCCACGCCGGGTGGGACAAGCTCTGGCAGTGAGGACGTATGGGGAGGAAAAGACAGCATGGGGTTGGGGGCACAGGTGTTCTGCTGCCATAGGGCAAAAGGTGGGAATGAGTCCCAAGGTCACGACCTCCCAGTCCCAAAGCAGGCAGAAGGGCTGTGTTCAAGCCTCTGCTGCTTCTACTGGTGACTGTAAAAACTGTCCCTTAAGGCACTCTTTGCTTGTGACCTAGAATCTCACAAGTGGGGTGAGTCACGTGGGCGAAGCTATGTCTCAGGTGGGGAAACTGAGGCTCAGGGAAGTCAGTAGTGGGAGAGTAGGGGCAGGATTTAAAGCAAGGCTTGGTTTCCTCCCCCATGAAGGCCACCGTCCCATGGGAGGGAAGGAGGACTCTGGGGTCATGATGCTTCCCCCTACCTGCAGCTCAGGGTGGGGGCTGCTGCAGGAGCCCCCAGGCACGGTGACTCTCTCGGGCATTTCTTCCTTGAAGCCCCAGACCCCATCCTGTAAGTATTTACTGCCACTTCGAGTGAGTGGTTGGCCCCAGGCAAGGGGGTGTGGGGCCAGCAGGAGAGGCCAGCCACCTAGCACCTGACGATCTGGCGCGGCCAGGCCGCTGGCCCGTCACTCCACTCCATGTAACGCTCACAAGCACTGCCGAAAGGAAAAGACACGCCTGTCCCGTACACACACAGCAAGGTGCAGAGGGGGTGAGTGGCCCAGCACAGCACTGGGGGAGGGTCCCTAATCCTCCCCACACCCAGCATCTCTGGCGGGGTCCGGGCGCTGGGCCATGCTGGCCCTCCCCAGGACTGCAAAGGGCTCGTCTGAGAAGGAGCCACTAGATCACTAGATCGATGCTGTGCAGTGAGCAGCGTGGGGGAGGGGGCAGCCACGGCTCCTCCCAGAGGAGGAGATCGGATGGAGTCAGCCAGCAGCCCTCTCCCACTGGGTCCTTATCAGACCCCAGGCGACGATAAGGACAATTTCTGCTGGGCTCTGCTTTGCCTCTGTCACCCGGGTTCTCTCCAGCCAGGCACAAAGGGCGTCTTGTCAGGGCTGCCAGCGGGGGGCCCAGCCCCCAGACCTCTCATGGCCTTGTGAGGTCCGAGCCATGCCTCTCTCCCCTGCCCCATGGTCCCAGTACTGAGCGAGGGCTCTTGGGAGCAGGCCAAGGCTTTGTCTGGCTCTGCACATGCAGCCACGAGCGGACAGCGCCGGCGCTGAAAGGGATGAGCTGGGGAGCCGTGCGTGCAGAGCGTGCACTCTAGGCCCACGGACCCACCCTGTCCGGGGCACCTGTGCCAAGAGCCCTCTCGCCAGCAAGCCCAGCTACAGCCGGGCCAGGACTCATCCAGCCCGCATCTCCGCAGAGACGGAGCGCTCACTGCCTCCCAGCATCAGTGATTATCAGAAAGCTCTTCCTCAGGCTGAGCAGAAATCAGCCTCGCAGGGACATCTCTGCCTCTCGGTCCTGACCGCTTGTCCCTGTATAACAGGCTTTTGCATAACTAAACATGGCTTAGACAACTTTTCTGAGCCTCAGCTTCCTTTCCTGCAAAAACAAGGCCAAGATTATCAACCCACCTGCTACACAGGGTTGAGAATAAATAGCGTGACCGGGCCTCGTCCAGGAAAGAAAACGGAGCCTGAGCCAGGTCTCCAGTCCTTGGTGGGTTTCTTATACAACCTTCAGAGGTAGCATGGTCCATATTTAAGCAGTTCTAGAAGGACACGCTTGCTCATTTGGGCTTAAGTCTGCTTCCTGCTATGGGTCTTAAAGAAAAAGTTGCAGGTTGGGGTCTGGACTCCGGGTGGTGGGGAAGTCTGGCCAGGGAAGCAGGAAGGAGGCAGACGTACCGCCACTTCTTCCCCCTGCAGCCTCCAGCCCACCCCCACCCTTAACCTGGAGGGAAAAACAAATGGGTCCTTTGGCCAGTGGGAGGGGCGAAAGGGGCCTATGCTGGCCAGGAGTTTGGGGCTTGGCTGGGGGCCAGGCTTGGGGCCTCACCTGGACACCGCCCTGCAGGGACTAACTCCGAGGTGGCGCTGGTGGCTGCATAGGTGGGGCAAGGCCGGGTGGGTCTGGGAGGGCTCTTGGCTCCTACAGCTCAGGGCAGTTCTGGTCCCACCCCTAAAACCTCCTCCCCCACGTGGTGGCTCGGGCCCATGGTCCCACCTGGTAGAACTTCCCCAGCACGGCACCCTGCGCTCGGATCTGCAGCCTTTGACCCAGCACGGGGTTGGGAGCCTGGGCTCCAAGCCAAACTGATCTGGGTTCCAATCCCAGCTCTGCCACTCCCTGGCGTGGCATCTGGGGTAATTCCTCTCAACCCACAGTCTTAGTTTCCGCTTCTGTACAACAGGGTAACGACGGCACCTATGCTTGAAGAGTTAAGGTGGGGAGTAAATGTGAAAATGCTTTCACAACACTTCCTGGCTGTGTGCAGGACAGAAGTACATCTGTTGAATGTGCACGAAAATAACACCTGAGCCTCTTTGGGCCCCACGTGCTGAACACTGTGCACAGCGTTCAGTGTTTTGCACATAAACGTGATGACTGTCCCCAGTCACTCCATCCAGTAGATACTACTGCTTTTCCATTTTATAGGGATGCTGCAGCTCAGGCAAGTTCAATGACTTGCCTGATAGCAAATGCCATTTGCTTCTCACTGCCATGGTGTTTTTGCCACTATTTTGCAAGCACTTCCTATATACCAGGTGCCATTCTTAAAAATGCGGGACATTAGAACCTGCTCGCATCTGTGAAAAAAAAAATAAGAAAAATAAAATAAAATAATGCGGGACATGGAGCTGGGCTGCCCTACAGAGTGGCAGTCACTAGGGCTAAGGGTCAGCTCCAGAGAGCTGATCTAGACTGTGGCCTCCAGGATCTACCCTCTGATGGTGTAGGACGTTTGGGGCATCTCCAAGGGCTGGCTCATGGCTGGTACCCAGATGTTCAGCCATCTCTCCTGACACTGGGGGTTGAATTGGGTCTTCCCACGCATTTCCTTCCACTCCCGTGAAGGCAACTGGATCTGGGAAGAGGCATCCCTTTTGGTCTCTCTGATCCAAGCCAGCTCACACATTTTCTTGCCTGAGGCTACAAAATCTGTCACCTCCCTCAAAACGGGGAGCTCCAGGCAGGGAGGGGCTTTTCCATGCCCACAGTGTTGTCATCAACATGGGCAGTGGGTGCTGGCTTGTGGAGAAGTCTTTGGGGGTGGGGGCGGAGTCAAGGTGTGTTTCCATGTCGTTTCCCCTCCACATTCAGGAATGTCTTTTACAAGTCTCCACCCTGGGGGGTGGGGGGCCAAAGGAGGTATTTGTCCAGAGGTCACAGTAGGCAGCTAAGCCTGCCCTGCTCAGACAAGGAGCACACACTGGGCCGTTCTCTGCGAGGAGGAGGGGGAGGAAGAGGCGGCGGCGGCTGTGGCAGGCAGGCTCCCAAGGGCAGCCCAGACACAGACACATGACAAAGGGCTGGGTGTGAAGGGCACGGCCCAGTGGGAGTCTATCAGACCAGTTCTCTCTAGGCCTTGGCACAGTAGGAGAGGAGTGCTCTGTTAGCAGCAAGAGAAGGAGTGAAAGGCAGAGCAGGAAGGGAGGAGGAGAGAAGATTTAGCCTCTGTAGGTTCCCAATGACAAGGTCCTGACATTAACCCCTCTTCCCTGGAGGGTGGGCATGGAGGGCGTCCACTGTTTGTGCTCCATATTCAAGAAAGAGTATTAGTAAGAGGGGGCCAATGCACAGAAGTGCTGGAAGAGACCGAAGCGAGAAGCCTGGGCTATGGCTCACCAGGCAGACCTGAGGTCGAAATGAGGATTCCAGCCGCCCCCTCCCTCTAGGGCGCTTCCTGCACAGTTGCCAGGTGGAGGCATGGAAGGTACTCAGGGTCTCCCCAGGAAGGAGGGTGTGTCAGTGGTACCACACCTGTGAACTCTGGCACTCTGAGTCACCACCGCAGGGCTGAGGCCCTGAATTGTGCCTGGGGGTAGGTGGGTAAAGATAAGAGCTCCTAAGGTGAAAACAAAAGGCATTGAACTTTTGTCTGCCAGGTGCTGTGGCCAGAGACATCAGGACAGAGACCCGAAGGGGGAACTGGACTCTCAGCCCTGTAGGCTGGGAGCTACAGCTGGCACTGCAGCCAGGTGGGGATCCAGCCCGGCACACTCAAGGGAGAAAGTGGGACAGGGCAGAGTAGCTCAGTAGTGGCTTCCCCGAGGCCGAGGCCCGACAGGCTGCCAGTGTCTGGTGTCTGCTGGCTCCTGGCACGTGCCAGGCTCCCTGACTCCTTAGCCTGGTGAAACTCCCGTGGTTTCCTCCCAGGCAGGGAGAGAGGGAGGGGAGAGGGGCTGGCTTTGGCCCAGCTGCCAAGCTGCTCCAAGAAGGTCCCAGCCATGACCTGACCAGAAGCCCGGAGCTGTGTGATTACAGCGTGAGGACCAGAGCCCTTCTCCAAGGGAGGCAGGCTCTGGACACAGGGTACAAGCCAGGCTCAGGAGTCCCTGAGGCCACAGTCCCCTGAGTGATGTGACTCTAGGAGCAGCCTGCACCCCCAGGGCAACTCTAGGACCTATCTCCAGCCCTCTATCCACCACGGCTTCCAACATTCAGGGCTCCCTAAACCTTCAAGAGTCTCTTCCAAGCCACAGTCTAGGACCGATCCAAGTTTCCCCCAAGGAGTGGGGCTGCAGGCTGGTCACAGAGTCCCTAGCCAGCGCATCACAGGCTTAGGGCCGGGGTGGGTGGCCTCAGTACAGCCAGGGCTCTCTTCCCTAGATGCGCTAAGCTGTGGGTGACCCCTCAGCTGGGGGTGGGGTGGGGGTGATAGAACTGCAGAAGCAAAGAGAGTGAAACCCCTTAAATCACAGGTTCCGGCACCTCAGCACCTGGCCATCTAGGATGCCGATCACAATGCGCAGCCACCAAATTCCAGCTAGGTCCAGAATTGCTTCCTGTGTGGGGATGCCATCCCTAAGTACATTATAACTCCTCAAGGGTGGGTCACGTGACTTGAAATTCTTAGGTACTCCACTCCTGGGTGGCTGGTGGGCCCAAACAGTACTTTGTGCTCAGTACCGGGTCACAAGCTAAGGGCAATCCCCACCAGCATGAGCCCCCTCTCGCCCCTGCCCCTGCCGCCCCGTGTGAGTGGGGGAGGGGCGGCCAGCCCGGGCATGGGCTGGGCTCCCACCCTGCTCCTGCCAGGTCCGGCCAGGGAGCGAGGGCAGAGCAGGTGTAACTTGAGCCCAGGAGGAATTCCCTGCCCTTCCTCCATGCTTTTATTAAAGTAGGGCGGGGAAGGGCAGGCTTCCATGGAAAAATCTCCCAGGCAGCCGCGGGAGGTGAGACAGCCGTCCTGGGCGGGGAGGGAGCACCGGCCCACTGCAAATAGAAACGGCGCAGGCCCGCGGCCCGGCAGCCCAAGGGCAGCGAGGTTCCAGCCTACCGGCCCGGCACAGAGGAGGCTCCAAGGTGGCTCTCTCCCCACTCCCAGCCTCTCCTCTCCTCTCCTATCTGGGGCAGGGAGCAGGGTCTCGGAAGTCGGGAAAGAAGGGACCCCACTTTTGCCCTGGGGCAATGGAGCTGGCCCCTTCACTGCCCTCACTCCGGAAGACGGTGCTGAGCGACCCTAAAGAGCCGGGGGTGCTGGCTGGACTCGGCTCTGCTCTGGGAGGCCGCGCCTGGTCACCTGCGGGACCAATGCAGGGATGGGCCCTAGCAGGGACGTCAGGCGGGCTTGCAGCGAAAACGGGCGCAGAGTCCACCCTCTCCGACCCGGGCCTCCGCGTAGTGGCGCTGCTAGCGACAGGGTCTCTCCCTCGGTCCCCACTCGGGCGTGGTGAGGCATCCGCGCAAGAGCGCAAGAAAGTCGCCAAAGCGCTCCCACAACCCTGGTCTGCTGCTTCAGCGGTTCGCACCCCTTCCCCCATCCCGGCCCGCCGTGCGCGGCTCGGTGTCACTGGAACCCGAGGCCACCCAGGCGGGAGCGCTGCCCAGCTCCCGCGTCGGCCCCGGAGCAGCCCCCTCCCCACTCGCAAAGAGCGCCACGGCGCGCCCGGCCGGCTCTCGAGGAATCAGCTGCCCAGGAGGAAGAAAGGAGGGGAGGCAAAGCCGGGGGGCGGAAGCGGCTCCCGGGACACAGGCTGGGGCGGGTCAGTGCCCGAGGCAGGCTGTGTGGTCGAGGGCGGGCGCGAGCCCGACGCCCTCCAGGAAAAGAGGCGAGCCGCAGAGGGCGAGCTGGCGAGGAGCAGCCTGCCAGGTCCCCTCTCTTCCCCCGCGTCCCCTGCACAGGGGCGCGTCTCCGCTCGCTCCACCTCCACGCCCAGGCTGAGGCCTGGCTCCCCTCCCCCGGGTCCCCAGCCCGCAGCAAGGGGACAGGGCGGGGGTCCTTACCTCGGCGTGGACTTCTGCGTCTTCGGCCGCCACGCCGCGGCCCAAGCAGCCCAGAAACGCGAGTAGCAGCGGCAGCAGTCGCGGCCGCGCCGCCGCCTCCCGGCCGCCGAGGAGACCGCCCGTCCAGCCCGGCCGTCCGGGCGCGCCCCTGTCGCTGCCCATGCTCCCGGCGCCCAGCCTGGCCCGCGGCGCTGCCCGCTGGGTTCGCTCGCTCGCGGGCGCCCGGGGCTCGCACGCGCCTCGGAAACTTGCGACGCTCCCTGGCTCCTGGCCCGCCGGGGCCGCTCAGATGCCCTCGGCAAGTGCCCCAGCCCGAGGAGACGCGGGCAGGGTAGGTCGGGCGCGCGGAGCCCGCCGGCGGGAGAGGGGGCCGGCCGGCGCTGCCCGCCGCAGGGTCCCGCAGCCTCTGCGCCCCGCGCTCGGGGCCCGGCCCCCGAGAGCAGGCGCAACTCCGGAGCCTTTGTCTGGCTCAGCGCTCCGGCCGCCCGGTCCCGCGGCGCCCCCTGCGCGCCCAGCTCCCTCTGTCCATGCCCGGGGCCGGGCGCCGCCCGGAGCGCGCGCCTCCCGTCCGGGGACTCCCCCGCCGCCGCGCCCGCCGGGCCGGGGCCGCACGCAGTCCGGGAGGGGCGCAGGGAGCCGGCCCGCGCGAGCAGGGCGAGCCAGGCAGCGGGCGCCCCACGTCCCCGACGAGTTCGGCGCGGCCGCGGGCGCTCCCGGCACTCCTCCCCGCGCCGCGGCCGCGCCGCTCTTAAAGGGCCAGCGCGCGGACCCCGGCGGGGGCTGGGGGCGGACCCCGGCCTGGGCTTCCTCCCAGCAGGTGCTGGCGGGGACCCCGGCAGGTGGGCGGCTCCTTCACTCTCCGCCGACTGCGGGAACCCTCCTGGCCCGCCCGCTCCGCATCCCTCCCCGCCCGCCCCGCATCCCTCCCAGCCCTGCTGGGGGGGGTGACCTCCAGCGCGACTCCCCGCGGAGGGAGGCGGCGAGCAGGGCGTGGCTCCCCGCGGGGCAGGAGTGAAGACTCCTCCTCCTCCTACCTGGCGCGCGGGGGGACACTGAGGCAGGGCGGGCGGGAAGGAGGGACCCCAGTGTCCTGTTTTAGGCTAAAAAGGAAGAATGTGGAAATGTGTCTGCCCGAGCCCTCTTTCCAGAAACGGAGGTGCCTTTGGCCCTTCAGAAACTTGCCTCAGCCGCAGAGCGAGGGCCGGGCGCCTGGCGGGCGCGGCGGCGCGGCGGCGCTCAGGCTCGGGAGGGGCGCGGTTCGAGTCCGCGTGTGCCGCTCGGCTGCGGCTTAGACGCGGGCGAGTTGCTTAGTCTTTCTGAGCCTCCGTGTCCTTATCTGAAACGCGGGGCGAAGGGTTGGGTGAGGGTGAGGTACGGCTTCCGGCTCCTGGCCCGGCGCAAAGTAAGCGCCCAAGCACTTTGGCCGCTGTTTGTGCACGTGAAGCGCGACGGTGCGGCTCGAGCAGGCGCCGGGCAAGCCTTCCCGCGAAGCTTAACGTGCTGCACTCAAGTCTAGGACGCAAGCAGCCTGACGGTGTGGACGCCGGAGGCCCGCGCTGGGAGGCCGGGGCGTCCAGGCCAAGGGCAGCTCTGGCGCGGGGCACTGGCCGGCGGGGTCGGGGGCGGAGGGCGGAGACCTGCCCTCCTCTCTTCAGCCCCGGAAACGGCCGCTTTCGGTACCTGAGAGCCCTTTCTCCCGAGTAGGCCCCCTGGTCACCCAGCCGGCCTCACCTGCGGAAATCCGATACCAGGGCTGGCAGCGCGCCTTAGAAGTGGCCTGTTCGCGCCGCCCTGCCAGGCGGAGACAGGCCGGTGGACGGTCCCTGGTGCTTGGCAGAGCTTCCTGGGGGAAAAGAAGTCGGAGTCAGGAGAAAAGGTGGGTCAATTTCATCCATTTCCACGGACTGACTTCTCTGCGGGGGCGCCTCACCTGGGAAGTGGGTTTCTAAATCCTCTTTGAAATTTGCTTTTGGGAAATGTGCAGCGGACTTCAGAAACAGACAGCAGGGATGTCCCTGTTTAAAGACCGCATTGCGTTCTTTCACAGTACCTGTACCTGATCAACTAATTTTGAAAAAAGTTAGTGTTTATGTGCACACCTAGAAAGGAGAGGAGCCGGGAACCCTGAGCAACCTTCTTAGAGGCCTGTGGTGGGCCAGGCCTGGTGATTGTGTTTTCTTTGGAGGGTCCTCTCTTGGGGCAATCTGCCTTAAGAAAATGACAGCCCCTGTGACCAGATCTTGTGGCTCCCAGTGACTGGTTCTGGCTGCTGCAGGGACTTCGGGGCTCCAAGGTGGGTTTGTACATCCACCTGTCACAAGATGACCGAGTCCCTACCGGGCCTGGCCAGTACCCAAGGCCTGAGGGGACCCGTGGGACTGAGCTGTGTGAACTGTCAACTAGCTTTTACCATTATCCACATTTTCCCAATATTGTGTCATCTGTATCCTGACAACCCTCCCCCTCACCCCCACCCCAGATTCTTTTCTTGGAGTCTTTTGAATTAAAAACCAGATGCGGCGTTTTAGGGCAGTTGCATTTTGAGATTCTGTAGTGGTGAGAGGGGTTGTACACAAAGCTCCGGGTTAGAAGCCAGGTCACTGGGTTCCTGCCGCAGCTCGAATTATTTACAGGGTGACCTGGAGCAAGTTACTGCGGCTTTGGGTTTGTTTCCTCATTTGCAAAGGGAGCGTTCTGATTCAGGTAGTAGCCAGGTCTCTTGTTGAGTGAAGGAAAGTGGCTGTGGGCTGGAGCTAGGCCGGGACACCCCCTCCCCCAGCTGCCCCTCCAGGGGCCCCTCGGGCGGGGCACCAGACACACCATCAAAGGTGGAGCAGGCCTTGGGACTGTTAGTGCCAAGACAAGGGAAGAATAAACAAGCAAGCCAAGGTAATTCCCCTCTCCCTTGGAAACAAAGCTGGGGTGGTCTGGAGAGGCTGGAGAGTGCCAGGTGGAAATCGGCCAAATTGGCTGTGAGATGATTATTTCCCTGCCCTGCGGGGAACATCTGAGGACACTGAGGCCAGGTGTGTTGATTTTGTACTCTCCCTGGTGTGATAAAACCCCCATCAAGAGCATTTCTTTGCATGCCAGCCTGCCTGGGGGGACCCCAGCCTGCTCGTCTTCCCTCTGTCTCTGGAGTCGTCTCCGGCTTTCTCAGAGCACATCTCCTCTTATGGAAGAGCCCCAGCCGCTTCTGCACTGTCAGCTCGAGCGCTGGCTGGCCCGGGTGCTCCAGAGGCGATCAGTGTCTGGGTGCCCGCCAAGCCTGGCTGCCCGGCCTCCTCGGGCCCAGCCTGCCTCCCCTCCCCCTCTGCGAATCTCCCACTTCCTCCATTGCCACCTTCCATTCTCCACTGAAGAGCCAGTTATTGATCTTGGCCCACTGCGCAAAGTTCCTGCACTCTAATGCCATCTCCAGCACAGACGGACTCCCTGAGCCACAGCCTCCCCTGGGGGACCAGCCCAGTCCTGTCTTCCTGGCCTTGTTAATGGAGGCCCTCCATTGCACCACCCCCTCCCCCATCAAGAAGAGCCAGTGCCCAAATTTTGGGAAGCGTGAAGCTGGGATGGGGAGTCTTCTGTGTACCCTGCCTGCTCCCCTATTGTGAGCATCCAGAGGACCAGACCCAGCCCGATTGACCCAAGTGCCCAGGTCAGGGCCTGGCACAGAGCAGGTGTCAGTTAAGCGCAGGCCCTGGCTTCCTTTCCGTCTCCAGAACAACCGACGTACTGACCAGTCCAAGTCAGCAGATCGATGTGGTGAGGGTGGGGGAACAAGACGTCTATAGGATGTGATTTCCAGGGTGTTCCAGTGCAGTGACTGGGAGCCTGGTCCAGGAAAGGCAGAGTTGCAGGGGGCATCATGGGAGCCAGAGTGACAGGCCCCCGTGAGCCCGCCTGCCCAGAGACCAGGCCTGAGCAGGAGGCAGTGTGCCGGGGCTGCCCGGAGCTGGACTTGAGGCTAGGGCTGAGCCAGGCTTTTACTTCTGATATCTCAACATGACCCCAAGAAGTAACGTCACTTGTTCTTCCATAAAAGTGGAATCTTTATTCCTACCCTGTTTAATTTTCAGCGGGGTTATTGGGAAGAATAGAAGAGAAGGTCCCAGGACCCTTAGTAAGTGGCATAGCAGTGTAAGGTCTAAGTGTCTATGCTCACACTGGCAAGGAATGGGGTGGTGACCCTCTGCCACTTGCTAAGCCCTGGGCTAGATACAGTATGTGCGACCTCTGGGTGCAGGCCCGGCAGGCCAGGTAACCCTGCCCTCATTTTATCAAGGCATCATTAATGCCCCTAGAAGCCACCTTAGAAGTCAGAGCAGAGACTCCTAAGAGTCCCCCTAAACTGTGAAGCACAGCCAGAGAGGTGGGGGAAGAGGAAAGTTGTTTTCCACTGTGTTGAATACAAGCAGTCCAAAACAAGATCCAACATAAAAAATGCAATTTTTATTTATTGAACATAGTTTAAAACTATAACATAAAAAGATTTCTTCATCCATCACCAACAATCCAGATGACAACTGGTGAGGACGGGTCCTTGGCCCTGAGGAGAGCTTGATCAAAAAATAAAAGTCCTGCACATCCCCTGGCCCCACCTCCATGGTCCCTCTCAGAAAGCCTGCAGGCCACAGCAGGGGGAGGAGGCAACAGGAGGAGAACTTTGGCTGGGGGAAGGCCCCTCTCCGCCTCTTTGGGAAAGCCGACCGGGAAGCGGGAAGCCAGAGGTCACAGTGCGTTGGAGGCCTGGCTTTGGGCCACCAGCCCAGCCAAAATGAAACATCTGCTTGAGTCTCCCCAGACACCTGGCTGGGGGTGAGTGGGAGGAAGGAATGGAGAAAACTGGTGCCGAACCACAAATTAGCACCCTGTACCTTGGCCCTGGAGTGGCCTCTGCTGGCACAGGAGGAGGATGAGATTAAAAGTAAATAAATAAAAGCCACACGCTTTAAGGAAGGAGGGTGATAGACCCACTGAAGCACCCTATGTCCTGGCTTCACCAGGGATGAGCCAGGGCATGATGAGGCCAATGGCTTCAAAATACAAACTGTGAAGTGGGGGGAGTGGCTGTTTGTTAGAGGGACTACAGTGGGGATTCTGGCTGAGTGTGGGTGGGCTCACCAGTGACCCCAATATTCTTTTTATTTATTTTGCATAAACACCACAGAGCAAGAATTGAGATGCCCAGGCTGCCCTCTACTG